TACCGTTTCCGCCCGATGACTGAGTATTTGTCGTTACCTTCAATGAAAATACTCATCGCTCTTCGCATACGCATGCCGATTTCAGTGTCGAGGATCTTGTTGCTTCCACTGTCAACTTGATTGGGTTCGTTAGTGCTGCTGTGGTGAGTTAATTTTGATACGATAGTTGTGCATGTTGACTAGAGGATAGACACTCACCAACAACAAGTCGATATGCTAACTCAAACATTTGTCTATATACCCGCCGTTAAGGGCTATATGTACCTTCGGTGATGCAAATGTGTGTTTGGCATTTCATTCGCTCTCAACCAGTTAATTAAGTCAATTAAAAAATATTGGCATTCTCAACGTGTTGGGGTAATTGTATACATCGAATGAAATTAACCGTAAAAATTGCCTGTGCATGTGTGTGTGTGTGAGTATACGTGTGGCAATGTTTGAGTTTAATGAGGGCATTGTGTCTGGTTATTAACTTTTCCCAGCGCATGTGTGTTTGCTGTTTAATTATTATAGCGACACGTCTATACCTCGACTATACTTCGTCGGTGTGTGCGTAGAAATATTTTGCTTTCTGTTTCTTTTTTCGTTGTGTGTGTCTACAACTGTGCAATATGTTATGTGCTACTGACAATTCTAATTTATTTTTGCTTTATTTGTAGTTGTTGTTTCTTTTATCTGTAGCTCGTAAATTTTTTATAACCTCTGGGATTAAGTGGTCATTTTCCAGTGAATTTATGTCTTTCTCTTTTAGCAAGGCATGTGGCTTACATTGAAATGATAATCTAATAAAGTGGTTAATGAAATTATTGTGCGTTTAAATTAAATAAAATGTCCTGCAGTCATTTTAGGATTTCTGAGAGCTCTAAGCTTATCATTTACGTACTTCATTATGCGGTTTTCAGATTAAAATTTATTTAATTTAATTGCGATAAAGTTTTTCTGGGGGTTTCTTGTTCGCATGAAAAATACGTGTGGGTGCACTTGTTTGCACTTGAGAATGTGAAGAAGATATTCGCTTGGAGGAGTAGCCAAATTGGTGTCAACACATGCTTAAGTTTAAATAGTTGCTGCGTTCTTACTTCAGTGGGTGACAAAAGAGTACGCGCAAATAACTTAAAGTAGTTAATCATTCATAAATTTTTATTTTGTCCCATTCAAAGTAATCCTCACCACATATAATATACTTATGTCACCAATTTTTCCTGTCCTCGAAACACCTTAATAAGCACTTTTTGGGATGGACTTCAGTTACTTTAGTGAATTTTGACTAAAAACGGGTTCCACAAAGCAGCAATTTCAGTTTGGGGAATAAGAAAAAATCACACGGAGCTACAGCTAGTGAATACGTCGGTTGATCGGTGGTATTCATTGCGTTTTTGTCTCTATATTCAGTCACAATCGTGGCTCGATGCGATGGTGGATTATCATCGTGTAAAATCCAAGAATTGTTCTTCCAGAACTCAAGCCGTTTTCAACGGATGTTCTCACGCAAACGTGTCAATACGTCCAACTAGAACTCTTTATTGTCCGTCTGTCTCTGGAACCAATTCACGATGCACCAAACCCCAAATACCGAAAAAACAATTAGTATCACCTTTGGAATGGTTTTGTGGTTTCCATTCTATAGTAGTTGACTAGTTTGCATGTCACACCAATAAACCCATGCCTCAGCCGCTCTTGTAATACTCTCCATGAATGCGGTATCGCAATTCGCAAGATCAAGCATGTACCAAGTACCTGTTTACGGTACTTTTTTTGAAAAAAAAAAAAACTTTGCTTTATTAGAACGAGCTGACAATTTTCACCATTTCTATATCTTTCACTTTTCTAAGCTTTTCATCAACTGAAGAGGTCAAAGGTCGTCTAGAACGAGGCATGTATTCAACGATCTCTCGACCGTCCGTAAAGGCGTGTAGACTTCTGTTTTTGATCAAGCTGAATAACTCCAAGCCTTTTCCAACATTCGCAATGATTCTGCATACTAAATTTGGTTACGAATGTAAAATTTAAAATAATTTTTTATTCGATGATTTTATCTATTGTAAAAATCGCAACGCACTACTGAGGTGTAGCGGCTTAAGCAGCTGCTGTAAGCAAACTGGTTGACAGATCGTGTGACATATTGCATTGGAATTAAGGACAGTCCAATTAACTTAGCAAAAAAAAAAAAAATTTTTTTTTTTCAAACATCATTTATCCGGGGAATTTAATTACATTTCCGGGTGCTTTTTTTACACAACGTATATCATTAAATGCATTTCTGATTTGTTCCTTATTTATATTAACGATATTACGTCTAGATGTCCAAAGGTGTTAGAAACGAGGTATTTTACCCCTGATCTATTTCAATCAGCATGTAACTGGCATGAGATAAAATTTTTAATTTTATCGCTTGAATCTCGTTCGGGCAGTATCCAGTTAGAACTTTCATAACTAGTCTAGTAGACCTCTTACGATTTATTTTGGATCTCCAGTCGTACAAATGCTAGTATCTGACCCGGTAAGCTCGTCAGCTTTGCTGAATACCTGTAATCCCGCTATGGTCAGGCACAAAAGTGGGTCCTCAGATATGATTGAAACTGAGTGTTCTTTCGGTCATATCAACTCGCTTTATAATCATGTTTCCAATAGCTAAGGAATAATTTGAAATTTCTAATGATTTTATGGAAAAGTTTGAGAGTTTTGCCAACAAATAATTTACATATCTTATGATGAGCGTGTTTACCCCAACAACTCACTTCGAGTGACCAATAACAGTGTTCTATTTACCTTTATCTTTTAGCTCGAATTTGTATTAAAGTCCTGTAGAACGTTTGTTCTGATTGGGAAAGCCAGCTACTTTACCTAAATACAAAAAAACATTTATTTATAGTGTTGATCTACAAGTACTGATTAACGAGCTCAAGGCACAGAATTTTCAGATCTCAATATTGTTAATTTCTAATCTGGTTGGATGGCAATCTCATCGATTCCAAAGAATAACATTTGATTGGTCTTTCGATTTATTCAAATAAGTCCATCAGTTTTTGAAATATCAATATGAAATTTTGCATTTTGCGTCCACGAAGTTGCTCATTTGTCGGAACTGCCGGGTACGTATCACTATATCATCTAACTCACATACAAACTTTGCGATGTATAAGTATTTAGTTCTTCTATGGAAAAATTTTTGGCTGACAAGATATAATCATGAAATTTGGCATTCTGTTTTGGTTTTTCTGGTTCAAAAATTACCTTTTTTTTGGGAGTTTTTGTCTTAAATATGGATTGATTAATTTTATTGTACATTATTGAGCAATCTTAACTTATAAAAAATGAACATCATATTTTAAAACATTTGGTCTAAGATATATGCATATATAAAAGCTGAAAAGTCAGTGCGGGGCCATCATTCCACGCAGTGCCAATAAGTTCCGCGAATAAACGACGTTCATAATAATGATAATATTAATAATAATTAAGCATCGAATAGGTTAAACCGTCACTTAGCTATGAACTGAACTTCGTCATTCACATTTTATGCAAACAATTTGTGAGCAAATTTCATTTTAACTGGCACAACTCACGCGTTCTAGTTTAGAAATATTTTTATCTTCAAGCGTGAGGCATTAAAAGCCATTAAAAATGTCATTACGCAGTGCCCACAGCAACTGCTTTAGTCTCAGCGCCTTTTATCCTTGTCAACGCCGTGAGCGTGGATAAGTATCCACAAACATCAAACGACAAACAGTTAAACAAATAACGAAATTAGCAACTAAATTAAAAAGAAATTGCTGCTATTCGTTTAATGCACCGCCGTCCGTCCGCAGCAATCAAGCGAGAATAATAAAGTCGAGCTGGCCGAGTGGACGATGCTGTAGCAATCATACAACACCGCCCATTGCGGCCGTCATTTAGCCACAATGAGCTATTTGGCAGCAAAACGAACGCTTTTCTATTCATTGAGCATCATTCTGCGCCTCATTTAATTCTCACGCTCATTCATTCGTTTTAATTAAATTTTTAATCACACAAACAAAAACAACTTGCACACTTGTATGGGACTTTCGGTTTTGCCGCGAAATAGCTAGCTAGCCTATTTGTAATAAGTAGCTGCAGGAGTACAAGCACTTGTTGAGTTTCTGTAAGGATTTTGGGAGACCTAAGCTGCTGCTGGTTTAGATACACGATACTTACGGTGTTGCCTTCTGTGCCAGTTTTTTCACAAGATATCTTTAAGAAATTTGGCATTGATTTTTATCCAAGGCAAACCTAAAATCTACCAAATAAGTTATTCAGATCGGACTACTATAGCATATAGCTGTCATACAAACTAATCGATCAAAATTGAGATAAACGTCTTCTAATGTCCTTTTATAACACTTGTGAAGTATATTATAGCTTAGGTACAACAGCAGTTGTTGTTTTGTTTTCATTTTCTGTAAATAAATCACTTATGTGTAGTAAAAGTTGTTATTGTTGTAGCAATTACAGCTTCAAATTACATTTGTATCATATAACCCCAACAACGTATGTTTTCCTTGTTAATACCAATTCAAAACATCCACCAGCCCTCCCTAACCATATCCTTTGAAGTTTTTACTTCTTTCCACAATCCTATAATTTGTGTGGTGGTTCATCGCACTATTGTGTCAAACAGCTCTTGCCCTCAAGATCAGCAACCGTTAGCTCGGTTGTGTTTAAAACATTGTAATCGGATTTGTCGTGGCAGCTCGTGTTTTATTCATTCATCCTCTCATACATAACTGACCAAAGTAATGTACATACATATGTACATATCTATGCATCCGTTGGTATTTGCTTGCATAGTCATCTCGTTTTGCGGCGTTATTCTCTTTTGCTTCCCGCTTTTTTATTTTTCTTTAGCCTCTTAGCTCGTCCGTTTGCTAGCCTGCTCCCCCGCTCCCTTGCAACCCAGCATCCATGCATTTCTGCATCTTTTGTGTTTCTATGTGACGCTTGTAGTTTGTGGCAAAGAGTGGTAATTGAATTAATTTAAGTTACAGGGTTGTCCAGGATGTCGCCGGCAATAGTGAGGCAATCATTTTAGATCGTCTATCGCCCAGCACTCAGTACTCGATAGCGGTGACGGCCATTTGGCTAGGCAAGAAGTATCGCAGCAGACAGATCATATTTCGCACATTGGGTAAGTAATTCTGAACACATTGCAGACAGAAAAACACTTATTTTAGCATATAGTATATTTCTATCTGTAAGTAAATATATATTTCGACATACATATATGTATATAGGGCTGATGAAAGAAATTACTGAAATAAGACACCAAAATCGCAAAGTAAAGTTTTTTGCCTTAAGTTTGACAATTCTCTTGGGTTTATTTACTATGCATACTTAGACATAACAGTGGTGGCCAAATATATTATGATGAAAAATTTGAATCGATTGTTTCTCGACAGAGCTGAAATATCATTATTCCAAAACATTAGTATTCTAAAAACCCAAAAACAATTCAGTCCTTTCTAAAATTAAATCCAATTGCTAGTCTGTTCGAAATAAAATCTTGTCTCAACCACTTTATCCTGGATAGGGTGTATTTATCATATAGAAGGAATCGTCGAGGACGTTTATACCAATATACATAAATGATCAACATGATCTGCTGAGTCGATTTTGCCAAATTCATCGAACTTTTCGAGATATCGATCTCAAATTTTACACACGTCCTTTTCAAGTAACATCTCGTTTGTCAGAACCGCATATATCGGACTTCTATAGCAAAAGGCTGTCAAACAAAATTTACGACAACAACATCAACAACAATAACAACAATATTGTTTTCAGAATACAAGAAAATATTTCGAGTCAAAACTATTTCGCTACTGAACTAACAGCAAAGCAATGTGATAGCTAAATGAATTCGGGCCGCTGTCAGCCAACAGCGAATAAATGACGATATTCCCGTTTGTTTTGAGGGACCCACCATGAAGCAGACGACGCCAGCTTAATTAATGTCTTGATGTGATCATTATGCACATTGTTTTTAAAAAATAATGTATTTTATGTATAGTAAGTCATGTTATTGTGAGCCAAAAAACATTCAATCGAAGAGAAGGCGATTCATCCTTTCCCAGGGCTGTGCACTCGGTTTAGAACTCGCCACGTAAAGAAGCACCCCCTTGAAGGAAATTCGATTTGGGATTCGTAATGGGATAGAGACTCCGTTGTCGGTTAAAGGCCAGAACCCCGGTGGATAAACGTCTAGTTCTGAAAAGTTTTTCAACATAACATATCTTAGATGGTACCTATTAGATTTGCCCCTGCCACGATGTCAAAATTGTGATTGGCGACTTTAACGCCAGGGTGTGCAAAGGAGGTATCTTTAGCAAATACAAGGAAGGTTTGACGTCGAGAAGCTGCAATCACAACAGACAGCCGAACGATTTTCTGCTCGACTTTCACTCATAATCTTTGAGGGCACTCATCGGCAACTCGGTATAAGGGAACTGTGGAAGACCAGTCAGAAAGAATAACGACTGGCGCGTTTTTGTACATTCGGCTATAACCGCTTATAAAGAAGAAGAATGTTGTTGTGAGCCAAACGATGTGAATTAAGCTATGGCGTGAACAGTCCTCATCTACATAAATCTCTCTCTSTCTCATTCTCTCATTTTGAATTTATTAGCCCTGTTACAAACGAGAAGATTAGCAAAAAGCTAGGAAAACGTTTCTCGTGTAAGAAAACTGCGGACTAGAGAGCAAACGAGTTTCACTTTTGTACAGCTCATCGTTCGATATTCAATGTTGCCAATGCGCAAATGACCGTAAATCTTCCGCAGAACCTTTCTTTCGAAAACTCGTAACGTCGACTCATCAGATGTCATCTTCATCCATGCCTCTGCACCACATAGCAGGACCGGGATGATAAGTGACTTCTAGAATTTGGTCTTTGATATCGATGATACCATAGGTGTACGCCAGCAGCTGTACAAATGTAGTAGATTTAATCTTCTTTATTTAGCTCTGCAGCTCGAATTATTTTCTCCAACAGTAGATTGAAGAAACAGTCGCACGAAGAGGAGTCGCCTTGTCAGAAACCTCGTTTGGTATCGAATGGCTCGGAGTAGTTCTTTGCGATCCTGACGGAGCTTTCGGTATTTGTTGACGGTGGGCTTTAATCTTTCGCACAATACGCTCGATAGAACATTATACGCGATGTTGAGAAGGCTTATCCGACGGTAGTTGGCGCAGATTTAGTGTTCTCCCGTCTGTAGATTGGACGGAGCACACTTAAATTCCAATCGTTGGGCATACTTTCGTCCGAGCATCTTCTACAAAGAAGCTGATGCATGCTACTTTCCAGTTCTTCGCCGCCATATTTCAATAGCTCAGCGTCAATCCATCGTCCACCTGCTTTGTTGTTCTGCAGACCTGTGTTTATTATTCGAACTTGTTCAAGGTCGAAAAATGGAACATCTCATGGCACCAGTTGTTTTTTTTTACCTTTTTCGAAAACCATTTGTGATGTTACAACTGAAAATTTTATGATGTTTCTTGTCTTTATTTTTACCTTAAACCAATTAGTGTCAATAAATGCGTAAAAATATATACACTAATTCAAAAATGGCGTTCCCAAGTATACCACTACACAATATCAAAATACCACGCTTTAAATAAGCAATAAAAATTGGCTTATATATAACATAAATAAATTAAAATAACAAAAGTAGAAATAACATATAGTAAGGGTGATTACTTTATCGAGTATATGTATTAAGAGGTTCACATATCTCAGTCCCACAAAATGTTTGAGTATCTGCGATGTTGAATTTTGTTTGGCCATCATTGTATATTGAGACACAAACTTTATTATATGAACAGTCATATGTATGTATGTATGTATGTATATTTATATAAGTATTATATATAAATAGGTAGTTGTAATAGAATATTTGAGAACTTTATCAACGTGTATGCGAGTACATCAATAATAAAACTAATCGAATTTTCGCCTTTTTCCCAAATGTCCTATTCAATCATTCATATTTCCACTTTTCTCTTCTGCAATTTCGTTGTTTCGTGTGTGTGTGCTTGCGACAATTGCTCATCTAACTGCATGGCACGCGAACATCAATGTCAATGTACGAAAAACTAAATGGGAATGTTACAAAAATGCGGCACAATCAAAACAACGCTTTCAGATATGCCCAAGACATCGTCACAGCAGGACTACGCGCCCGGACACACGACCGGTGCGCTGGGAAGCCAAAACAGCGTTGGAAATATTAATACGGCTGTCGCCGGAGGTGGTGCGCCTGGTGCGGCCGGTGGAAGTGGTGTGGGGGTTGCTGGCACGGGGCTTATCGGCGGCAATCTGGCTAGCGCAGCGGCAGCAGCGAACGGTAATGGCACGTATGGAGACGATGTAACGTCAACAGTGACGAATACAATGGCACAACGGCCACGTGAATTGCCAACGGTAAGTGTGTGTTAAGCCGCGGCAATTTATTAGTGTATCTGTGTATATGTGCGCGTGTGAGTGCAATTTGAAGTGTGAATTGCAAAAGTGTGAATTGCAAAAGTGTGTCTGTTCTTACTTGATTTCATTTATTCAATTGGTGTAGTAACAATTTCGCAGAATTTATTTAACTTGTTTGTGATCTTTAACTGAACTGAATTTAATATATTGTTTCTCTGTGATTCTCTCACGGTCTCTCTCAGATACGCGGCGTTGAAATCGGTATTGTGCTGATTGTTTTGATGGTGTGGGCTGGTGCTATAGCACTATTCTTCAATCGTTGGGGCAAAATCCGAATGCTGTTGCCGTATCAACCGGACTACAAGCACGAACAGCTGAAGGTACCCGGCACCGGAGTGTGCACTGGCGCTGGCTGCAATGGACAACATTCGCATCAGGTATGATTTGTAGGGATTTCTTTAAGCGTTCAAATACACCTTTCAAGCCTTGGTTTTGCATTTTGGTTGCTAGCCCGCGATTGCGTACCAGGTGCGTGTCTCATTAGCCACCTTATGCTGTTGAATACGAAATGAGAGCTCATGCTAGTGAGTGTTTGAGCTTAATAGTAGCAAAAATTCGGAATTTTCTATAAAATATTTATTACAAAAGCGAGTGCGGTTTCCCAAAAATAAAAATATAAATTTTTTATAAATAAATAGAAAATATCGTAAAAACGTTAAAACAATGAAAATAGTAAGAAAAATTATTTCGAAATTGTAGAACACAAAGCATGCGTGTCAGCGAAGTGCCACACGGCGTATGCGCAACTTACCATCACGTAGTGCTACACGGCGTATACGCAATACAGCATATCAATGTTAGCGCTGGCTTTACTACAACCGTTTTGTGATTATTTTGATAGTTCAGAACAACAAATAGAGTGCTGTAGTATTTTTTGAAAACTTAGAGAAAATTATCTGTGTTTGCTTGGAAGCGGAGCCTAAGTCGCGTTAAGGAAGAAATCAGGCAGTGAAATGTTTAAATTTTAAGAGGTTTGTTGCACGTTCTGAAAAAAATGTATTTGTAATGCAATTCTAGTTTAACTAAGTAATAGTAAAATTATAATTGATTTTTTCAAGGTTAAACCCAAATTTCCATACTTTCATATTTGATATACGCTCTTCTTCCATGCGAACCCAGCTGTTAACGTCCCAAATTAAAGTTTCCACTTTAATGAATATGAAAACATCGTAAATATGTTTCTACTTGCTCACTTATTTACAATAAATAATTCCAACTACCAACTTTCCGATGTGGCAACTTACATGCAAATGTGCTTAGTTTTAGTTATTACTCCATTCACCTAGATATGTACTTCTTTTATATATAATATAAATGTGTACATAGTCTCTTATGTATTAGCGTACACTTCTCTCTCTYTCTCCTCTCACTCATACCCAATTGTGTTTTTTCGTATTTAAGCAAAACAATAAACTATCAAAATTGTTCATCAACTAAACATAGTACTAACCAACTCACGGCTTTAACTGAAATAATATTTCTTTACTGTTATTGTATTTTATATATTTTTAGAACCTACACCCAGATATATTCGTAAAGGTATCTACAAAATTTAATACAATTCAATTAATTTTATTACTTACATTTTATTAATAAAAACCTAAACGTGCTGACTCGTAAATATCGGTTTAGATATCAATCATGAAATATATTTAACTTCATGCATACATACAAGACACCTACATGTATACATACCTATATGTAGTTAGCATACTCGCTTAGCTAGTAATTCCTCAATTTGAACGAGCTACTGAGTTCACTACCCTTAGTTGAATGCTTCCTCCCCTTTTTACCCTCTTCAGAATTTATCGTATTTGTATATAACAAAGTATATAAAATTTAAGCATTTCAGTGTAGTTACATACCCACATAAATATTTTGTTAAATAGTTTATGCGGTAAACATTATACATACATACATATACACCATATAAGCCTTTAGTATTACAAACAATTAAACAATTAAAATTTTACTGCAAACCATAATTTCTGCCAATCACTTGTTTATCAATTGGGTTACTTATTGTTTTTTTTTATTTTATTCAAAAATATGTTAAAGGTTAACTTTCGAACACAAATATTTTCAATGCAAATGTATATGTATACCAATCGCTAAAATGTTTCTAAAAGAACTGAAAATTTGCAAAAGTGATAAATGCATTGGAATATTTATGAAGCTAGACATTAATTTTGTTATAAATTCGGGCAGATATTGGCGATTTGCCAAAATTACGCAGATGTTAGGATTTTTTTATGTATTCATGATCTATTTAAATACTTGTATATACAGCATATATAATATTTACATAGTGACAAAAAGAACCCGGAAATTATAATAATATTTATTTTTTCGCCTTCAAAGTAATCCAAACCAGATATAATGCAATTATGCCAATTTATGAAAACGAGCTCTACGGAGCGGCTATTTAGTTTTGGAGAATAAGATGTAGTATTCATTGCGTTTTCGGGTTAAACTCGATCACAAATGTGTTGCGTTGCGATGGTGCATTCCGCAATTGAGGCCGTTTTCGACGGATGTTCTCACGCTAACGGCTAAATACGGCCAAATAGAACTCATTATTGATAGTCGATTTCTCCGGAAAAAATTCTTGATACACCAAACCAAGAATATTGAAAAAGCAATGATTTTTAAGCGGCTCTGGTATGGTTTTTCAGTTTCGGCTTGTTTTTCGCTCCACTGCTATGATTGTTAACTTGTTAACTTGTTTGCATGCCAAATGCATAAATTTATATCGCATCGGCAGTTATAATGAATTATCTACGAATATGGGAATTTGCACTATCAAAAATGTCCAAAGAAACCTCTTTATGGTACTATTTGTGAAAAAAGTTTAGCTTTATCGGGACCATTCTAGCAAGAACGCGTTTCAAACCCAAAGTATCCACCAAAATGATTTTAACGGACTCGCGAGAGATCTTCCCATGTCTTTAACACATGCCTGATGATTTACAAGCACCATATCCTTCACTCTTTTAATACTTTCAATTGAAAATCCAAAACGAGGCAGATCTAGGCTTATGAATCCCGCTCACAAATACAAAATTTTAGACAAATTATTAACCATTGTAAAAATCGCAAGGCACTACTGAGGTGCACCAGCATAAGCAGCTGCTGTAAACAAATTGGTTGACAGATCGTGCTCATATTAGGTATAGTAATTTAGGATAGTCCTACCAACTTAGAAAAAGACATTTTTTGAAATACCATTTATTGGGGGAACGTATAATTCAATTTTCGGGTGCTTTTTTGTCACAATATTGGTCACGTCAATTAAATAATTATAAAAATCATATGTGTTTTACAAAATATTCCACTAATTAATCACATGTGCATAGATTTTCTATCGGCGCTGTTAGTTCATTCACCGTATTTGTTTTTGTGGCCCTAATGAAGGTATGCGCTTTTCACAGAGAGAATATTCCAATATGAAGCCCGAATATAAAGGTGCAGTGCGGCAAAAGTTTGTCCTCTCTGTTCTACGCAAGAAGATGTAACTCATTTTGACGCAAGCTCGGTAAAATATCAGCTTAGTTAGCTACGTTTGAGCCTAAAATGAGACAGTGAATCATCATATTGACCTCAAAATCGCCTTCTCTTGACTCCTGGTAGTGAGGCTTTTAGCATTGCTCTATTGGCGTGCAATCTTACAGAATGGGAAATTTACCAGACGCCATTTGCAGAAGCTATGTGGAAGAAGATGAGGTGGAAACAACTCAACACTTCCTTCTTGACTGTCCCGCGTTTGGGAAGTCAAGACTTAAATACTTGAGAGCGCATACCTTCCGACATCCCACCGACCTGCCGGAAGTAGACATTAAACGCCTGTGCAAATTTGTATTGGCCACTAAACGTTTTGCTTATTTATAAGATCGTATATAGTAGTTCTATGGCTGCACTAAGGACTACATTTAGAAGTCCACGTGCCACATAAGCTAACGATTCGCTTCAAGTATAATTAAAGGGACAAAAATAAGTATAACTGAGTTCACAAAAGGAACGCTTCTACTTGGCTCTTTCAAATTTGAATCATCGCTACCACTCCAAAAAAATAGTAAGGCATTAATTATGCATAAATTAATTTATTTGATCGATTTACTCTATAATATTTCTTCGCAAGCTGTAAATAAATTCAAACTTTATAAAGGAGTTTGATTAATTTCGTTCGAAGTAAACTCTGATTACTGTTCCTATATTGAACAATAGGTCCCAGCTTTCACAAGAGGTTTGTTTCACCACATATGATGCCGAAAATTCAGGAATCAAATTCATTTTTTATATATTCGTCGAATATTTATGCCAGCTTACCCTCTTTAATTCAAAATCAATTCAATTAATTTAATTTTATTTTATTTTCTTGCTTAAAACAGAAATTATGGTTTCAGTATTGAATTAGTTTATGACWACATTAGTCAACAAAACAATAGATTTTCCACAAACTTTTTCATTACAATATTACAAAATATATTTCGAAATTTGCTTGTGCTCAAAATAATTAATACAAGAAACTCAAATTTTATACTATGCACACCTCAAGTCAAGTACTTCCATCGAAATGCATGAGGCGCGAGTCCTATTACAGCGTTATTTAATACATGATACCTAACCTTAAACCCAGAGCTATGAATATTCCCAAAGAAGCTTCGAATAATTTCCATGACCCATTCCACATATTTGGCAATTTATTTCTTTCATTCATTTTTTTGATTAGATGCACAATCATCTCTTTTATAAATAACAGTATAATTATGTAATAGAAATTATATATTTAAGTAAAGAAAATATGTAACAATTGTAGCGCTTGAATCAATTTTTACACACAATTTGCATTTATAGAAGTAATTATAAATTTAAGGTAGGGTAGTCCACAGTGCGGTAGCTAATATGACAGCTGCGCCAGTCCACCCATCAAAATTTCGTAGTTATTATGTATGTACAATAATTAATTCATTGTCCTTGCATACACAGCGTCGACACTCAAAAGCCAAAGTGTTTACATATCTCCTCCTTTTCTTTCTTATCTCTTCTCTCTCTCTCTTTCTCTCATTGTTCCGGCTTTTCTGCTTATTATTCGTGCCAATTAATGTGTGTGCCCGTGTGCGCGTATGCGTGTCCACTACATTTGTATGTGTGTGTCCACTCGCTGCTGCTCACACATACACACACGAACATTATATAAACGCACACACACACACACACGCGCTCAGTGTTTGCCGCGTTGCGAGGGTTGTGGCATCTTCGATCGCTGCTTTCAATATCCGCGACGCGAGCTGGAGCGCGATTGCGGCTGCCAGTTTGCATTGCTGCATAAGGCCGATGTGGAGAGCTAGCAACCAGCGCATGGTGATGGCGTTGCATC